CGCTGGTATTCTGTGAGGGCGTGGCCCCACCCCGGTCGAGCCGATTCATTCGTGCTGCAACCACAATAAAGCTGCAGCATGGCTCTACCACGTTACAAAACTACTTCTTCAAGCCATATTTAAATATGTCGAAATTTAAAAGTTTTAAAAGCAAAAGTAGTCTGATCATACAATCTATCAATGTCGCTTTTCATAGTCGTATCATATTATTTGCCATAGTTACCACGCTTGGCAGGTGGGTCTTCTGTCACCTCTTACAATAACCACGAGACAATTCCGGAAGTGGACATTCTCAAACCGCCACTACAAGACGCAATAAAAAGTAATTTAAAAAAAATGGATTTCCCTGCCCAAGGAAAATATCTCTTAAGCAATTGAAATATTCATATATGACTCACATCATGGTGCAATTGTTAATATAGTGTGTTTGAATCTACCTCTATCTACCAGTTTTGTATTACGTATGTATTATATCATGAAGCATTATATAGTAGGTACGCAGGGTAATATGGTCATCAGGTTAATATGGTCACTTTCTTATAGCTCAAAAACTACAGCCTTGTTTTCAATGATGGCTTTGCGATGTGATAGCTCTTCATCCGTCAATCAAATCAATAATAAAGGATCAAAATACGTTGCTTTATCGACGCCATTTTGACAGTTGACAGTATAGTAAATATTTTAGTCGATTTTGTGTTTTTTTTTAGATTTGGTGTAGTGTAGTTAGTTCTCTTGAAGTAGGTTTTTCGAAGCGTTCCTAATTATTGCCAAAGCTTGTTTGTAGTTTTTCTTCTATAGTACCTATACGCCTTTGTGTTTTTGTCTATGTCATCATCGTAGTTTTGGCTTTATAGAGCGGCAAAGCTTAAGGTGGCCAGCCATATTAACTTCACGTAGGTACCTTACTAAATTTAAAAATTAGTTTTTTACAAACAATGATATTATAAGTAAAAAGGTGTTTCTTATAATATCATTGTTTACAAATGTAAAGTTACAGGTTTTAAACGCCCTCTGCTAGGCACAAAATCACTATGGCACTTAGAATCTTTTACAAACGTCACAATTATTACTTAAGATTATTTTCTTAAGAAATTGCCACGGGGATAACTATGTGTTGGCGGCATTCAAGAATCCATTGCCACTTTTCATTTTGCACGGTACAACCATCTAGTTTGTAAACAGCGTCACAGGCCTAGGGTTACTCCCAGATAACCACAGACAACTATATGCTTCTATGAATAGGAATATCCGAATAAGAATTAAATTCAGATATGTCACTACTAAGAACTGAGGTGGAATGCCTAGTTAACAATAAAAAGGGTCTCCTAAAGAAGAAACCTTACCTTTTGTTATATCTAAAAATTAAATTGCATTACAGTCTATAAAAGTCTTTGGTCGAACATAGACCTCCAATGATTGCCTATGAGGGTGGATGTTTACCACAATTGCCAAGTCCTGGTTGTCAACCGATTTTTTTGAGCTGTTATGTAGACGATTCTACGTCTCCTGTTTTAGTTTCCCTTCCTCGCCCATTACGCCATCCAAGAAACAATAATGGGGTAGTGTCCTTACACTGGCCACTACACGATAAAAAATATTTAAAAGAAAATTCCATAACAGGCGTGACCTTTACAATCTTCTACATGTTTAAACTAAATAATTATTCACATAGTTGAAAAAGTAAACGATTGACGACTCAGCAGTACAGTGGTTCTGGCTGCGGCGTTGGGAATTAGGGTTCGATTCTCGCACACAACAAAGTGCTTGGCTATATGGATTTTAAGTATGTGAAATACCTACACGATACAGGGAAAACTATTAGTGTGGAGTTCTGGAGGTAACTTTAAAAAAAATAAAGAAACAAACTCTGCTACTGTCCTAATTTTCAGATTTCTAACTCTAGCGGTTTGGGATGTGCGTTGTAGATAGAGCCAGTCACTCCGGACATTGTCTTTTATATACGTATATGCATAATTTATATTACGCACAAAATTTTTCTTTCGTGTGGGTATGGCAGATATTATAGATTTACCTTTGTACGAACTCCAATATTTCTGTGTCTTGTTGTGTCATATATGTATAAAAATGGTGTTAATATTAGTAATTTGACTTGCAAACCGCCTACCAAAATCACACAACTTGGGCACACCCCATCAGTCCATTACAAAATAATGACAATGGCATTACAAAATATTTTTACAAAATTTCGTATGACTAAATCATATTTAAAAAATATATAATTCATTCTAATATGTGTATAAATAAAAGTGTGTTGCTGCTGTCGGTACATATCGAGACGCATGTGAACAGGAGCTGCGCATGACGAGCGCAGCATGGGGGCAATCTTTGTTTGTGGAGATAATCTCACTGTCCGTTACGTACCGTGTGGGCAACTCACCTACAAGCATATCAGCCAGATTAAAAACAATTATATGTATAATCAGTATTTTAAGATATTTTATAAATTATGCTAAGTTAAAAATATAATTTTTAATATAATTTTATCAAATCGTAAGTCGTAATAATAATTTTGTCAAATCGTTATCCATAGGGCTTTTGTCTCTATTTATGTTTCCTCGTTTGTTTTACAATACTATACTTACTTTCTCTTCATTGTTTATCGATATTTGTTCGCGACGGCCTAACAACCTTAAGAAACAAATTTATAAAGAATATTGTTTTTCGTATTAATAATGAAATTACCGACAAAACTGGATGAAAACGTGTATTAATATAGTTGTTTAGCATATTTATAACTCTTAGTATGTTTGTATAGAATGTCGTTTTGATAACAAGTAATATAAACAACTTTTATTATATACCAAAAAATCAACCAATCACAGCGCGTCTTATCGTAGAACTCTCTAGAAGTTTTTTAAAAGAGTTATAAATATGACATTGAATTAGCATATGGCTTATAGATTGAAGAAGTGTAGGAATATTTTGTATAATTAAACACATTTGATAGTTATATAAAAATTAAAGAATTAATGTACCCAAATATTATGAAAATTTGGGACATTTTGTTTAATAACTTTTTACAATGTTAATGTTTTTAGTAACCTTTATGATATACTAATAAAGTACCAGACTACCGATTTAATGATGTATAACATGTTAGTGTAGCAATTAGTTTTGTATAGAGAATATTGCAATTTATGCCATTTGTATAGTGAAATGTTTATGCAATAAAGAGGCAAAACGGAAAATGGCAAGCGGCTCACTGTAAAGTATTGCTAAAGTCTACCTTAGGGGCTCGGGACCCAGTACCCGTAGTAGTGTGAAGAACTACCAGTGACAAGTGAAGTGAAGTGAGTGGTATCCGGTGGTAGCTGAAGTGACTAGTAGCAGTATATAGTGAATAGTGAAAGTGTTAGCTAGCCGAAAAAGGTCGTAACTGATATTCGCAGTTACACATAGTGAAAGTGTTACCTAGCCTAAAAAGGTCGTAACTGATATTCGCAGTTACATATAGTGAAAGTGGTAACTGATATCCGCAGTTACACAAGTGATAAAATCAGCTAGTTCAGTTGATAATAGCTGCTAGTCAGTAGTGTTAGAAAACCAGTTACTACCAATAGATATTTAATACCACCGTACAGTTTAAAGAAATCTTTTGAAATATACAGTGACCAACCAATAGTGAACAACCGTAGTTCAACAACCGTGATCAATAAATAATAGTTATAAAATTTCGCGACTAATCAATCAGTCGAACCGCTGGCCACTACCTTGCTATTTGTATTTGTTAATCGTGCATTTTGATTTTAACCACAGTCCACAATATTTCAGCGGTAACCACAAAGACGGCAGTGAAAGTACCCACCGGAACCTATAGGTGTAGGACGTGAGCGACTCGCGAAGTATCTTCGACAACATTTACTCCGGAGAGTTTCGCCCGTCCGGCACAATATTTATTTATTATTATTTATACTTTCTTATAATTAATAAAGCACAAGGAAAGATTATTACAACGATCTTATTGCTATGTAGCAATCTCTTCCAGAAAACCAGAGAAAGAAATAAAAACCGGCCAAGTGCGAGTCAGACTCGCGCATAAAGGGTTCCGTACCATCGTACAATATTTAATAATATGTAGGTACTTTTTACATACTTTAAAAAAAAGAAAATAACCTGTCTTAAGTATGGGGACCCCCTTTAATTTTTAGTATATTTTTAGCGAATATAGCAATGCAAACCCTGTGAACATTTCAAGCGTCTACTTGTTGCTATTATTAAGATCGAGCAAAAAACGCAAAAAAAAAACACAGCCCGCTGACAGACAGACGGGAGTACAGCGGAGGCTTAGTAATAGGGTCCCATTGGTTACCCTTTAGTTACGGAACCCTAAAAAGAACAGAAAAATTTATGGTTAGCTGAGAAGCACCAGCTCTCAAATATAAAAAGAATAAGCAAAATAGGTTCACCTAGAAAAAAATTCTGAGGTAACACTTTAAAAAAACAGTCGAATTGAGAACCTCCTCCTTTATTTTGAAATGCTGAAAACAAAGAAGTTTTATCACAAAATGTATAGAATTGTACAGAACATTGAAGGGAAAGGTTTTCCTTACACCGTAAGGAAAAATTGTCACACAAATAGTTTATTTTTCTTATTATAAACTAGTGTTAAACTACAATTCAACTTGTTTTGAATCTCGCACGTAAAATACCAAGACTGACAACGGGGTGTAGCGTTAAAGGTGCGATAACTGCGTTTGTCGACGTAGCTGTCAAGCGTACAAAATAAAGAGAAATCCTTCCAACATTGGGTGAAGCCCACGAGCTTCAGCGGACTGCTACAGAAGAGAAAAAGGATCAGACAATGATTTAATTATTATTAACAAAAGCCAGATTTTCTGCTTTTTCCTCTATTCATTCAACCATAAATGGATACCACAAACAGAAAAACGATAATTTCTGAAGTTGTAAAATTCTATTTTTCAGAGGGGATCAAAAAAAGCAGACAAGCGTAAAACAAACTTTTTATTCCCATCACGATTCTATTCCTTCTTCTGCGCGCTCTCCACTTTCGGGTTGTCATTCTTCTTTTTAAGTTCCTCAAATTGAGTCTTCGCTTTCTGAGTGAAACAACCTTCCTCATACTTATGGTCAGGATAAATGAAACCTGGCATTTTTATTGACTCTATGGTTTCCTCCCTCAATGGTTCTTCTATATCGGGGCTTTGTTTTTCTTGCATTCTGGTATGAATTACATAAGGTACAAATTGTCCTTTGACAAAGTGGAGGCAGTAAGGTGAGGACTGTCTGAAGGAACTTGATTGAACTCTACATGGACTTGTCGGACAAGTCTGAGTGAAAAATTTTACCATATTTGATCACTATATCTTCAAAATTCATAATTTAGGCGTAAGACGCATATTTGAGTATGGAAATTCGTCAAAATTAATGCACCTTAATAATAATTGCGTAGTTTTCTTACTGGATAATTTTGTTGATGTATTTACTAGAATAAACGATATGTCAGAAGAAAAGTGTCATGGAGTGTTTATCACAAAACAAAGTACACATCACTACACATGTTTAAAGAGTATTTATATGTATGTACATAGATTTAGAATATACTGGCTTACCTAAGTCTACGAGTATGTATAGACTTCAAGAATATAATAATAATATCATTCATCACACATCATAGAAAATAATAATAATTTCGTTGACGAGTGATCTGGGACAAATAGTCCGACTAGGTAAGTCCAACTTCGACCGAGAGGTCAATCGACGGATACAACTCGACTGGGCAGCGTTTGAGTAATCACGACACAGTCATCGTCTCGTCAGCTAAACCCCAAAACCTGAAAACGAGACTCTACAACCAGTGCGTATTGTCAGTGATGGCTTATGGATCTGAGACGTGGTCCTTCACTGCTGGCCGCATGAGTACGTTTAAGGTCACTCAGCGAGCTATGAAGAGGGCTGTGCTCGGGGTTTCTCTGCGTGATAAACTTAGAAATGAGGATATCCACAGTAACTGACATACTAGAGTGACTGACATATACCTACGGATTAGTAAGCTGAAATGGCAATGGGCCGGCCATATAGCTCGAAGAACCGACAACCGTTGGGGAAAAAAGGTTCTCGAGTGGCAGCCTCGTACGGGTAGACGAAGTGTAGAACGACCTTCCTATGTATTTATATATATATATATATATATATATATATATATATATATATATATATATATATATATAGATTTTTTATATTTATATTAATATAATATAATTATTTTCAATTTTTAAAATAATTATATTATTATCAATATCATATATAATTAATATGTACTCGCCAATTTGCCAGCAAAGCATACATTTTAGAAGAAAAATCGAGGAATGATAAAACACATTAAAAATTACTATATTTTTTATATATTCGTATACTTAATAATCAAAGACGAATAATTTAGTAGAGTAATTGAAGAATTCATTTTTCATCTTTTTCTTTATGTGCCCGTTCTAGTGATTCCCTAGTCTCTAACTTCTTTCTTATCTTCTTTAATTGCTCCTTCTGTTCTTCAAAAAAATAACATTCTTGCTGCGCGGCCCATATTCTCCAAGGCAAACACCAGATTCTCTTACCGTACCACCACCTCCACCACCTTTACCAGCTTCAGATCCCGGTAAACCGGTAGAATAACATTGAGTTGTGCTTAAAAAAATTAAAATTAATTTGATCTGATGTGATATGATAATTAATGTACTTGTGAGGTTTGTATCTATGTACAGATATAGGTAGTATGTACAGATGTGGTAAAATATAACCTATTAATATAAAGTATATTATTAATATATTTTATAAATATTATTTTTAATAATTTTTTTCATGTTTATTTCATATTGCACGTTGCACCTATCTGTCAAAATATAAAATTATAATGTCCTTTTATGTTCGGTTTGTCAGGCAGAAATCGCTTAAAGCGATATGACCGCCGTTTGTAGTCATAAGTTTTCCGTTATTGTAATAACTTTCTTCAAATGCAATAAAGAGTTATCTATCTATCTATATTTACTTAATCCTTTCAGACTTGCCGTCTGATAACATTTGTAGACATAAATTATAAATTTAAATTTAAAATGAAAGTGATTATATTTGCGAGTGAAAACTGTTGTATTAATTTGCTCACATATTATACTACTTAAATCAGTACTACTATCGCCATGTATTGGAGTGTCCTAACACCAATTGACAAGTTTCGACCATTGATCAAGAGTGATTTGAGCAGTACAGGTAAACTCTTTATTATATTTTGAAAATATATGAATTAATGAAAGAAACCATCGAAAAATAATGTAACTAGTCATATAATACTTTAGGAACATGAATAATAATAATAATAATAACCTCCCCAAGGGAGTGAACATTGTCGCGGTGGGGGGGGGGGGTTAAAGAGAGCAGACACTGGTGCTAGATCTGAAGATATTGATCTAATAACCTAAGCGGGAGATACCAAGCATTTAATACCAATAACATCCGGCCAACTCTCTCTCTCTGAACTAATCATTCCCAACACAAACCCACTAATGGAGCACAGTAAAAAGATGTATAATTTACGGCCGCTGCCCGGGGTCGCCGGGGCGCACCTGGAGCCGGTGCTGGGTGCTACAGTTCGCGGGACACCGGTGGCGAGACGCTGAGCAGGCGGGCGTCCGTGACACAAAATGCTACAGCCGGACGCCGTGAGTTGAACAAGCGGGCTTGCGGCGTTGATGCTACAGCTGAATCTTCAAGCGATGATACCACACCAACAACATCATCTGTCGATTTCAATCCCTCCGAGTATCTGACAAGTGAAACATCCAACTTGTCTTCACCAAATAGGACCGACAGTGTTGTGCAAGATGTCATTAATGACTCTGAGCTTGCACCCACTAGCGGCGTCCCTAAAACGCGCAGACGATGGACACATGAAATGAATGTATTTATACTGCGCACTTATCTTCAGCTAACTTTCCTTGATACTGATACCAAAAATTACCTTGAACCACTACATCAGAAATTTGTAGAGAAATACCCAAATATGGTAGTAAGCCGTCAAAGAGTAGGAGACCAACGTAGAGCTATAGTCCGCAATAAACTGATATCACAAAAAAATATAGATCAGATTTATAAAGAAGTTAGAGAAGAGTTCAATCGTCATGCTAGACTCCCAACCACTCATGAAACTCAACAAGAAATTTTAGAAACACATAACACACAAGCGCAAACTAAAATGAGATGGACAAAGGAACAAAATGAGACCTTAATGAGACTATTACCAGATAACTCAACTAAATACAAATAGAACTTCTTATAGAAAACAATTACATGAAGCTTTCGTTAATGCATTCCCAACACTTGCTCATTTAAATGAACAGCGAATAGCTGACCAAAGAAGAGCAATAGTAAATAATAAATACATCAGTGACGATAAATTAAATGAAATAAAACAACAAGTAAATAAACAACTATCAATAAATCTGAATAATTCAAGTGACGCAAATACAATTCCTCATACAATTCAAGAAAATACACAAGACACTAATAATACTGACATTCCCTTTATAAATAGCATTGAAGTCTGTTTACTTAATCTATCACAACCTGAGAGATCCCTTAATAGACGAAACTTTTCAGCAAGCATTATTACATTTTAAAGACACTGACCCCACAAGCAGAGTCTACATCCCTAAACAAAAGCCATCTAAAAAACTTGCAATAATAGTTAATTATCTTAATGAAAAAACTCTTCCCGAAACTATAAATACAGAAACGGACTTTATTACATTACAAACTGCAAAAATTTATTACATTACAAACTGCGCTGCTTGGACAGCAGCTAAGGTAAACGGGGCAAAATTATCGTACGAATCTCTAAAAAAATCTTACCAAGCTAAAGACGATTATAAACCACATTGGCAAAAAGGGCTAGAAAGGAGACTAGGTGAGTTGCGAACAAAAATTGGCAGAGTAACACAATACATTAACGGAATTAGAATAAAACATCTAGAAAGACATATTAAAACATAGTACAACAGCACAAAACTCATTCAGTACATGAGGAACAAAACAAACATCTCACACACACACACTTGAAACACTTAAACAAAAACTTGCAGTCATCTCAGGTCGTTTACGTAGATACAAAGTATGCACGTTAAGAAAACAACAAAATAATCAATTCCACAACAATGAAAAACAATTTTATCGAAACATAAAACAAACAACAGCTAACGTACAAAAAAGAAACTGGATAGGTGACGGTCCTAATCCAGAGGACATGCGAAAGTTTTGGGCATACAAACCGAAACTAGAAATAGCAATTTAAACATCCAAGAAATGTCTTTTGAGCATATCCCAATAGAAACATTTAAAAAAGGTAATTAATAAGTTGCATAATTGGAAAGCACCTGGATCAGATTTAATACACAATTACTGGTATAAAAATTTACAAGCATTCATAGTTACCTTTATCTTATCTTAATGAATTTATAGTAAACACTTTAACAATGCCAGCTTACAAGACAGTCGGAATTACGTACATGATACTAAAAGATCATAATGATCATAATAACCCTGCAAAATATAGGCCTATAACATGTTTGCAAACTGTATATAAAACCCTTACATCATGCGTATCTGAACTTATATATAAACACATTAAAAAATTTAGCAGGGATGGGAGATATGATAAGGATATAGAACGACGAGTGAATGCGGGAAATAGAGTAAATGGGCCCTGCACTCTATTGTGAAGAGTTAAAATGTGTCAAAAAAGGCACGTATGGTAATTCACAATGCTGTGTTGGTCCCTACTTTAACGTATGGTAGTGAAAGTTGGGTGTGGCAGAAGAACCACGAGAGTAGAATCGACGCAGTAGAAATGCGGTCCTTAAGGAGTATGTTAGGGCTGAATCTAAACGACAGGGTAAGAAATTGTGTAATAAGAGAAGAGTGTGGTTTGCAAGATGATGTTGTGACCAGGATTAAGAAAGGAATGCTTCGGTGGTTTGGTCATGTGGAAAGAATGAATGAGGAAAGAGTGACAAAGAAAATTTGTGTTGCAGAAGTGAATGGCAGAGTCGAAAAGGGACGTCCTAGGCGAAAATTTATCGACCAAATTGGCGATTTATTGAAAACGGGCCAAACTAGGAGTACCCTTAACCGACGAGCATGTATGCGTAGGTGTATGGATGTGAAGGAGGCGAGAGAGATGTGTCAGGATCGTGCCAAATGGAAGTCTGTAGTCTCTGCCTACCCCTCTGGGTGACAGGCGTGAGTGTTTATGTATGTACATTAATGACAATAGTATACTGGCTGAACAACAGAAGAGATGTCGAAAATTCAGTCAAGGCTGCAAGGAACAATTAATCATAGACTCTGTTATACTGAAACAAGTTCAGAAAGAGAAGTCGGACTTGTTTTCCATGTACATTGATTACAAAAAAGCTTACGATTCAGTCCCCCATTCGTGGCTAATAGAAGTCCTGAAGATGTACAAAATACATCCAAAACTAATCATTTTACTAACATCATTGATGAGTCTCTGGAAAACACGATTAATACTCACGACTCCGACTAAAACGATAGAGACCAATCCAATAAAAATACAGAGAGGAATATTCCAAGGTGATGCACTGAGCCCATTGTGGTTCTGTCTTGCTATAAATCCCCTATCTAAGTTATTAAATTCATCTGCAGTAGGTTACCCCTTACAATATACTGATAGCAATAACATTCGCATAAATATTGACCATCTACTTTACATGGATGACATAAAACTATGCTCATACGGAAAATCACTTAAATCAATTAGCTTACCTTACGGAACAATTCACAAATGACATAAAAACGGAATTTGGAATAGATAAATGCAAAATAAACTCGATAACAGCAGGACATAACTATCAAAACCATTTTACTTTGGAAACTGGAGATAAGATAGAACCACTAGATGAAAATGAGGCATATAAGTATCTAGGTTACAACCAGTCACGACAAATACACTATAAATATACTAAAGAAAAATTGAAACAACAGTTCCGACATCGAATCAACACAATACTAAAGACACAATTAAACGCTTGAAATACAATAAAAGCCATCAATACTTTTGCTGTACCAGTACTCACTTATTCCTTCGGTATTATCAACTGGGCAAAGTCTGATTTAAAAGCTCTACAACGGATTATAAACACAACACTCACCAAATTTCGCAAACATCATCCAAGGTCTTGCTTACAGAGACTGACATTGGCAAGAAAAGAAGGTGGCAGGGGCATAATCGATATATTAAACTTACATAACAAGCAAATTACGACCCTCAGACAATACTTCTTCAACAAATCAGAATCTTCCACACTCTACAAGGTTATAGTACAAAATGATAATAAACTAACACCCTTGAACTTAAAAGAAAACACTACACAAAACTCTGAAAAACTGACCGACGACAAAACAAAAATCACCGAGTGGGCTGATAAGTCTCTACATGGAAGACATCGACATGATATAAGCCAAAATAATGTCGACAAAGAAGCATCGAACGCATGGCTGATTCATGGCGAATTTTCCCCAGAGACTGAAGGCTTCATGATTGCTATACAGGATCAAGTAATAGAGACTAGGAACTACCAAAAGCATATTACAAAAACCTTAACTTCTGATACGTGCAGAAAATGCAACAATTGTCCAGAAACTATTCAACACATCACAGGTGCGTGTAAAGCAATAGCCCAAACAGATTACAAATACGGATATGATTAAGTTGCAAATATTATTCATCAAAAACTAGCCCACCAACATAATCTAATAAACTCTATTGAACCCTACTATAAATACAATCCGGAAAGCGTATTAGAAAACCCCAAAACGAAGATATACTTTGACCGCGCTATCCTCACGGATCGGACCATTCACTGTAACAGACCAGATATTAGATTGATTAATAAAACTACCAAAACCGGATACCTTATAGATATAGCAGTCCCTAATACGCACAATCTACAAACTACAATAGCTGAAAAACTCTCTAAATATGCAGAACTTAAAGATAAAATAACTCGACTCTGGCATCTTCAAAAAGTAATTATAATGCCCATTGTCCTATCGACAACCGGCGTAATACCGAAGCAATTATCCAATTTATAAAAACTTTAAATTTACCACCCAACACATACAAACTTTTACAGAAAGCTGTATTACTAAATACATGCAGAATAGTTAGAAAGTTCCTGCAAACTGAAGAACCAACCATACCTCCTATACTTAGACAAATTGCCTCACAACCTAACACACGGGTAACCGAATAAGGTAGTTCACAGGATAGCACCAAATCCAGCACTAATATACACTTGGCTTAGGCCCGTGCTATTCGTAAACCGGTAAAAGCTGAGATATGAAAGTAAACAACATAATAATAATAATAATATTCCACAACTATCACACAACGCCATCTAGGCCTAAGCTAAGCAAAGCTTGTGTTATGGGTACTAGACTACTGATAAACATACTTATATATTTCTAAATACATAAATATTATAGATAAATTACACCCAGACACAGAACAAATGATCGTGCTCATCACATAAACGTTTGTCCTGGGTGGGAATCGAACCCACGACCTCCGGCATAGCAGTCAGGGTCACTAACCACTAGACCAACAGGCCTGTCGCCTAGTAATAAGGTATAATTTGCGTATTTTGTTTTGTTTTTGTAACATTTATCTCGATTTTTATATTTGTGCTCAAATGTTCCCATCAAGAGTCAATTGAGTATTTAAGTGAAGTTCAAATATGTTACTAACGGTTTTTAGAAAACCTAGTTTCGAATCTTTTTTCAATGTTTTTTTAAATGTTTTTAAATATATTTATGTTACAAAAATTATAAACTATGTTTATTCATATTTTTCAGACAGTAAAACCCTTGCAACATGTTCTCAACGGAGGCTTTAAAAGCTTAAGAAGATGGTAATCTTTCTGTTTTGCTATTGTCTTCTGATGATGAAGAAACGTTTGGAGAATCGATGGATCGAGAGCCACAGTCTGTCAGAGTTGGTGCAGATGTTATAAGGCCGAACCAGAAAGAGGTACACCCACCAGACTCTGATGATGATGAAGCGCCTTGTGACTCGTGTGACGGTGAACCTGATTTAAAAACTAAAGGTCAAGTCCATTCTAGTGATATCCAGTGTCAACCTGATATACCTACCACAAGTGAAAATATTTTTGAGAATGTCACTCCAAAAGAAATAATTGGAGACACAGAGCATTGCATTGAGCACGCCTCCTGTCATTTCTGAGAGTGTCTTAGGGTAAGAAAACGTCCACTACGCTGCTCCAAAGCGTGTTGACAGAATTTGCATGTCTTTGAAATATATTTTTTTAATTTTTCAGAAATGTAGGTTACCTCACGATGAAAACTATAATTGATGTCAGAGGAAATCGAACCTAGGTTGCTCGTGAACTGTTATACTTACGGAGAGCGCCTAGAACTTGAGCTACCGCGGCTCTTAACAATTAGGTACGAAACTAATTCACAAATGTGCGTTAACATCTTAATTATTTCGCGAGATTCAAGTCGTAGCTGTTCGCGATAATATAATTTGTTTCGGTTTAATTATGCGTTTTCATTTTTGCACTAATTATTAAAAATTTGTAGCGTATATATAAAGTAAATTTGTAGTGAAACTGCCAGTAAACAGAATGGTCTTTTAACATTCAAAATGGAGTTAAGTAAGGTTAGTTAGATATTTAACTTTATTATATATTATAAATAGAATTTATTTCTCACGATTTCATTGACGTAAAAGTAAATACATAAAATTCTGCAGGTCTATTCGTAAAATTAGTAGGTAGTTTTTAAGCAAATAGTTCAATTATCGAAAAATCACTTTAAACTAAGTTTTTTGCCACTGTTTCTACAACTATGTATGATATTGGAAAATGATTAAAATAAAAATTGATGATCTATTAATTTCACGTAAAAAAGGTTTTATTACCTCATCTTTTATCAGTCAGCTCGAAATCGGAAAAATGTTATAACCTTTTTGTATAAAATTTAATACTTCAAAAGTTTTATTGGAAACTTTTTTATAGAAGAGGTGGCAAACGAGCAGCGGCTCACCTGATGGCAAGTGAATACCGTCGCCCGTGAACAACCGCAACACCAAGAGGAGTAAGCTCTTTTCTTGAAGGTCCCTAAGTCGTATCAGTCCGGAAAAGTCACCGGTGGTAAACAATTCCACAGAGAGGTTGTACGAGGAAGAAAACTTCTTTTAAATCGCACAGTGGTGGACCGCCAGTCATCCAGATGGTGTGGATAACATCGGGAGTTTTGCCGCGATGTAAAAGTAAAGTAAAAGTTGCAGCCTATATACGTCCCAATGCTGGGCACAGGCCTCCGCTCATTTCTGAGAGGGTTTTAGGGCAAGGAATTGTCCGCCGCGCTGCCCCAATGCGTGTTGGCGAACTTCACATGTCTTCGAAATATTTTTTTTCTTATTTCTCTGACATGCAGGTTTCCTTACGATGTTTTACTTCACCGCCGAGCAACTGGTAAATCAGCACTTAAAATTGCAATTAACAATTTCATTGGTTGGTGCCGGCGGGGATCGAACCCGGTTTGCTCGCGTACTGTGAAATTTACAGCGAGCGCTAACCATCTGAGCTGCCACGGCTCGCGATGTACGTTCGTGAAATTTGGCGACTGAAACTAACCCGAACAATTCCTCAGAGTACTCCCCATGGTAGATACGATAGATAAAAAACAAAAGGATGCAGCATCCCTACGAAGCGCCAGTGAAATTATCACCAAAAACCATTTATATAATTTTTTTTAAATATAGCCTAGATCACTCCTGGCTTTTCTCTCTATTTGTGAAGTTTTTTTACACTCGGTTCACTCATTCCGAAGTTTATCCCGGAAAGACAAAAAATTTAAAAATTGTTATGCATATTTTAACAGCACGCAAATGCAACGTGCGAGTAGGTATTTTCAAAAATGCTATCTGTTGCATACCGCTCGCTCCGTATCGCCGTATCGTGCGAGTTGCAAATCTTGGAGGCATTTGCCTACATTTTGTTTTTGAAATATTGTTTCGGCCGATAAAGTTTTCACCCCCAAAACCTTTACAAAATGAGACAATTTTGGTCCCATTAGATTCAGTACACCTTAATCTAGGTCTGTACGTTTTTCCTTTTTAGTAATTCAGTCAGTTTAACTAAAAAAAATTAAAACGTTCCATCAAATTTTCAAGTCAAAAATATAGATATTTAGATGCTAATAACTTATCGTGTGCAATATTTCTTTAAAATAAAAATGTAGGAACCTAGTTTTCTATTATATCTACAACATTTCCAAAAAATTATGAAAATTAGACTATGTTTACGAGAGGGGGGGGGGGAAGTTATCGCATTTTGTATGAAAATTTACAGCCTTACAATGTTCTTTATGGAAGCCAGTTATTTTGACAGTACGGATAGACTCTTCAAGCTAGCGTCTGTTAAAATTATCAATCAAAATCTTTCACAGTTCTTTGACCAACAGATATACAACCAACGACTGTTCTAGATACCCACTTTTTAGGCTATCAACAATTTTAGATTCGTGTTTAAGCGATTTTCTTAAATACTAATTGTACAGTTTTCAATTTAATCTGACATTGTTCATATTTTTTCAGTTGATGCCGTTCTTTTGCTTGATATCGCTGTCTCTATGTAACAGGTAAACTTAAATAAAACATAATATTAATACTTCGCTAATACTGTTGGAACATGCAAAAATATTTATGATTTTTACGTTTACAGACAATTTCCAACTCAGAAAAATCTACCAAATGATACTTCAATAAAATGGTTGCCGCTACAAACTATTCCAACCATAGAACATCCAAAATATGGTTATTTTAGAAGAGTTAACACGCTGACGAATAACTTAAGACAATGTTTTTGCTTTTTACAAAAGCCAACTGGTATATCCGTTGTACAAAAACTGAATTCTGCTGGTGAAAATTTGGAGCGATTAGTTGTCTACCTATACAGAGACGCATCTTCTGCGGATATTAAATTTTACCTGCCCAATAATGAGAAACAAATTATGATACCTGATTTAGCATTAGATGAAGGCGATCGCTTTGAAACACTTTCGGCAAAAACTATAGAGGCTTTGTTTACAAAACACTCAGAGCTAGTGACAAATCCAACACAGATTATTTTTCCAGATATTGCACATGTTATACAACCCGAAAAATTATCCAAAAATATGAAGGACCCTTCTTTTTATTTGAAAATTTTAAAAGAATTAATACCAAAAGAGCTAATTGTCAATGAAAAAGAAAAACCCATACATATACAAAATAACCTGAATCCTGGATATGAAATTCTAACAGAAGATAATATTGAACAAGAGAATATAAATTTTAACGCAAATTTTCAACCAAACCAATATCAAATTATTACAGTAAACGGGGTTGAGCAACTAGATTTAGATTTGCCGTTAAATATAAAACCTGATCAAGTTAATAAAACAAAAAATGATGATACGAATCAAAAAGTCTTCAATTTTAAACCAGAACCGTTCAACAGAAGCTCAGAAGACATAAAAAAGCAGACGGAGATAAACATGCAGATTAATTATAACTCGGAAGTGTTGAATATTACTACAGATGGTGAAACTGAAGTACTTAACGTAAATACAGCACAAGAGAACTCCAATATGCCATCAGACAATGTCTATGTTGAGCCAAATTTCAATTTAAATAACCAGAAATTTCAACCAGAAATTTTTATTATTAGTGCAGTAAACGAAATCGAAACACCGACAGTTGAACCAGAAAATTTAAGTAATCTTATTAAACATGTAATTGCAAATGATAAACCAGAAGAGTCGAAATTATTAAATAAAGAAATTATAAAATACGAAGGTCCAGAAATAATAGAATCTGAACAAAATATATATGACTATAACATGATATGGCCTGTATTAACAGATAATGATGTTTCTTCTGGTAACAGTCCAGCTAAGTATAGTTTTCAAAGACCTCAGTTAATATTAAGTGACAAATTCAAACTACCGCTAACTCCCTTCGATAATGACAATAAAGTTTATGAAAACAATAAATTTCCCGGATACGTGCAATTTACCACCCAAAATCAGTTACAATATTTCAAAGATAAATTACTGCACATGAATCCTACGGGTCCTAATAACTTGTCTGTTATTACTTTGCGTCCGCAAAAATTAACTAAAAAATATCGTGAACAAAATGAACACAAAACAAATGCGGGAGACTTACGGGACACTTTTGATACCTGGTTTAACGAACAAGTAAAACGAGTCCAATTTTATGATTCAGAAGCTTCAAATTCGATAGACATTTACACATTTAAATATCTCGTTGAAAAGACATTACGCGACAATGGATTATTCGTTACAGAAAAAGGTCTACTTTCAGATTCCAACGGCAACATATTAAAAACGGCAAATTTAAATCTACACCCAATTTTAATAGGAAAAACAGTGGAATACAAGAACTTATTGCAAGGTAAGCTCACCACATTTAAATTGCCAACAGATTTGCCATATTTAGAAGCTGTTTTGGTTACTTCGCACAATCCTCCAAAGATTTTGGGAATAATACCTCTGGGAAAGACGTACCTTCCAAAAAGTTATAGCAATCCTTTATCGTCGTACGTAGAAAATGATTCTGATCAAGTTATTCCAGGCTGCGGGCATACTTGTAAAATGGGGAGATTTTTAATACCAAGGTATCAGTTACACAACAATATTAAGAGTAGTTACAGAGGTAACGACCACAGACATTACAGACCTACCTCTGAAAATTTATTACAACTCGAACCATACTCTCAAATTTTACCAAAAAGAAATCCATATTATAACAAACTTTTACCCCAACCACCAAATCCTTTACATGTAAAACATAATCCAGTAATAACTAAGGAGCCATTTCTATTCGATCAAATAAAATCAATCTTAAATATAAAAACAAACGTCGAAGACGGACATAATACCGCTGTTTTTAAATACGGCGACAAATCCACCGAAACAACTGAAAACATTGAATACCCAGTAACAGCCCCAGAGGAAAAACCTGGATTTCGAATTATAGGTGGTCACGCCGCCACCAGCAGTGGAACTCCTGTAAGCAATAAAGGTCGATCTGGCCAATCTTCTTCAGAAAATAGCTTGGAATCGTTGGATGACTTTGAAATAATATATATGACATAATATTCTGTTAAACTAAAATGTATTAATTATTGAAAAATAAATAAAAACTATTAAGGTTTACTGACGTAGTCTTTAAATCTAGAATAGGTACACGTAACAATAGTAAGAATGTTAAAAAAAATATTATCTTTCTTAACTAACTATGACAACACCAAAGATATATATATTTTATCTAGAAGTTGGCAAAATTCACTTCTTGATGGTAGGCCTTTTCTAAGCCACATAACTAATGAGTGACCCTCGGCACTTTTTCTAGTGGCTAGTTCAGTGGCAGATGGCATTTAAAAGATCGATCATATTAGTTAGTATTTAAAGGAATTGAAAAATTTTAAAGACGTTTCATCATCATCATTACAGCCCTCCACAAGTCATCAACAAACTTATAAATGCCACAAAGCACGGTCCTGAGCCACCTGCATCCATCGACATCCTGCATATCTTACCAGGTTGTCATTCCATCTAGTGGGGGGACGCCCTACACTTTGCCTGCCGGAATGATGCTGTCACTCGAAAACCTTTCTTCCCCATCGTATTTTTTATACACCTCATGGTAAGTGGTTGCTGTGGCCCATAGACTTCTACATCTACATCTATCTTCGATTACGAATAAAAATGCAGATGCGGTGTCACCCATAAGGACCAAGATGGAATGCCTCATTTCCAGTAAAAAGGGTCTCGGGTTCTCTACACTCACCGTACGAAACACAGCAGCATGAAGCTACTATTTTACGCTGGTATTCTGTGAGAGCGTGGTCCTTCCCCGGTCGAGCCGACCCATTCGTGCTACAACTATACTACTAATATAACTGCAGCATGGCTCTACCACGTATTAAAGTAAGTATTTAATTATTAGGTGTGATTCAAATGCTATTTGATTCAATACTCGTATTGCCGCTGTACCTGCAAAAAAACGCTCTTTTTATGCTTTTGATGCCATTTAGGTACATCCTTATTTCATTATCCACTACACATAATATGTATACATATAAATATTTAACGCTTGTCTTTCGCTGTGAAAAATGGGTTAAGATCTAGTGACTAATTACAGACCGCTAGTTTTAAAAACATCAGTCTTATGAAGAACATTATGAAAATCTAACTTAAAGTGCTACATACATTTCAATATTGGTAATTTGCATGTTGTACAAATCTTTTAATTTTTTAGTTTTTTTAAACTTTAAAAAGGATAAAACATTTGTTTTAGTGTTTTTTTCGTTGTTTTTGTTGTTGTTCCTATATTAAGTAAACCATTTTTTAGAAATATCCGATAGTTTAAAAACCCTAAAAGACTGTCGCATAATTGTGACTCAGTTCGTTTATACTAGACATGGTCGACTCAGCGAAATTTATTTCGCTAGCTCAGTAACTCAGGTGTACTGCGCCGCCTCTTTTAGTGAATTCAAAATAAATGCGCTATGGCACTACTTTGCGACTGTAACGCGCTGAGTAGCGAAACGTGCGCCATCTACATGCCGCGGTCACAAGTTCTTAGCATGTACAGATTAAAGATTACCTCTCTGACTAGTTTAAAGTTATCTGTGAGATTACCTATCACTCCTTTTACATTTCTCGGAGTTGCAGTTTATAAAAAGAACATAAAATGAGATTCGTGCAATACAACAAGTGTTCAATAACACTCCGCTGTATTCTGTCGGCAGCTTACCACCTTTTGAATTTCATGGCCCAGCGCTGTGCACAAACACATTTTGAAGAAGTGAGTTAACACTTTCTTCCCAGTGAAATAGTTGGCACGATTGCGCGACTCAGCGCAGTGTTACGCTTGTCTAATTTAATCATTCACTCTCTAAACGCTCATAAAAAGTCCACTGCTGAACTTAGAACGCCCACATAGATTGCCTCGTGGGATACATTGACCGTAGTTGCCGTTTGGAAGCCGCAGTATTTTATTACTTCATTTGCTATCACGAAGATGCTACTGCGTATCTCCTGTTCATTTTTTCTCTGTCGCCTCTTCAGATAACAACGAGAAAATATAGGATAGAGTAGTCCTCTACGCTGCCACTGCACGGCGTAGATGACAGCTATAAATAATGTAGCTATGGACCGTAGAAGTACCCCTCACACGTCCAGGCAGTGGAGGATGAGGTCCGCCGCCGGAACTCACCCCCTACGGCCTCCGAACCTATCTCTGTGTCCAATGATGAGATTTCATCACTCATCAAAGGACTTAAGCCTAAAAAGGCTCTGGGCGCGGATGGCATCTCCAACCGAGCCCTAAAACACTTTTCTGAGCAGGTGTTAACCTTTTTATCTATTATCTTCAACGCCTGCTTCAACCTTAGTTACTTTCCCACTACGTGGAAAGAGGCAACTGTGATTGGAATTCCCAAGCCAGGCAAGCCTCTCAACCTCCCCCTCCAGTCATCGCCCCATTAGCCTCCTCAAGGCAATGGGCAAGCTCTTCAAAAGAGTCATCCAAACGCGTATGAGGCGCTATCTGTTTTCCACAGACGGTGACCCTCTTATCATTCCCCATCAATTCGGTTTCCGAGCCAAACACTCATGTCCCCAACAAGTTCACCGCATTGTGGAATATATCCTCAGCGGTTTCTATCCTCGTCGTCATAAGACCATCGCGGTCTTTTTCGATATAGCTAAAGCTTTCGATAGAGTTTGGCACACAGGCCTCATCTACAAGCTCTACAAAATAGGTCTCCCTGATCGTCTAGTACGTCTCGTGGCCTCCTACTTAAAGCATCGTACCTTTCGTTTTAGACACGAAGGCACGCTATCCTCACAGCGAACTATCAAGGCTGGTGTCCCTCAGGGCTCAGTACTTGCTCTTCTGCTGTACATCCTGTTCACCAACGACATTCCCATCCCGTCGAAAGCTCTCCCTCTTCGCAGACGACACTGCTATCTACTGCAAAGGTGTCTCACTGCCCTTCATACGGAACAAGATCCAAAAGTCAGTTGATGACTTAGGAGCTTGGTTCAAAAAATGGCGCATCGATGTGAACCCGGAGAAGAGCTCCGCCGTTCACTTCGATTATAAACGACGCCGTCTCAAAAACACTCCACCAATACGTATGCTAGGGACCCCTGTCCCCTGGCATACGACCGCCAAATATTTAGGTGTCACTCTAGACACAGGGCTCACTTTCAGGCCCCACGTCAAAAGAGTAACCCGTCACGCACGGTTCTATCCGAGTAGGCTCAACAGTATGTTGGGCCGACACAGTAAAATGTCCCTCAGAAACAAGCGTACCCTTTATAAGGTCTGTATACGACCAGTCATGTCATACGCGGGCCCCGTCTTTGCCCACGCAAACCCTAATATTATTAATGAACTCCAAATAGTTCAAAACCTTTTCTGTCGTCGAGCTGCGAACGCACCTTGGTACGAGCGTAATGCCGACCTTCATCGGGACTTAGAGCTCCCAACAATTCAACAATTTCTTAAAAAACTCTCTGAGAACTTCTTCAAAGCCTCAGAGTCGCACCCAAACCAATTAATTCGTGAGGCAGCTACTTATGCAGCCCCACCCCCCTCTCGCTATCGAGTCCGCAGGCCGAGAAACTCTCTCTCGGACCCGCCTAATAAACTGACAAACGACCTGAACTGCCTCCTGGCGGCTCAGGCCAACTCTAATTAAATTAAATTATTGTATTAACAAATATTAATTTACCTTCGTAGGCACTCCCTCAGCGGCTCGTAGCCACCTGCGCCCTCTTTTCCCAAAAGAGGGTCGCTCACGATAAGGCACAATACAGTTTAATCAGCCGGCTGCCTGTCCCCAAAGGCGGTTTTTAGAGGGTATCACTTGGGGTCCCCGGTAGGACAGTGAGTCCCTCATAACCACGATAGACCGGCTATCGTGGTATGCGTAATGCATTTTCCGCCTCCCTACGTATAGGGTAGCCCTTTAATTGCTTCGGGCGCAAAAAAAAAACTGTAGAAGTAAGGAGTACAGACTGTGTATTAAAAAGTGTCCATAAAAACCTTTAAATAAGGTGGCGCCACTATATAGCTACGGGGTAAATTTTAAAGAATGCACCGAAAAATATTAGTGGGATGGATGGGTGGATGAGATTAGTGGGACCGTCGACTCTGCTAAGTTCATTGTATCCCAGTAGCTACTCCAGCGCTGTTGTGAAGAGTTCTTGAACTGTTATTTACTGCTTACAGATGGGCACTTTTTCAACTATTCTACTATGGGAGTTGGTACTCCTTACTTCTACACTCCATAAATTTAGCGCATTAAATAGCTTATTATTAAATTAGTTTAAAGAAAATATTCAAGGTAGAACTTTACTTTACTTTTAAATAACAAGGTAGAATTGACATAGCCCATGGGATAAGTAGGCCGAAGTGGCAAAGTGGAAAGGGCTGGCCATGTAACTCTAAGAACTGACCACCGATGAGGGAAGTCTCGAAGAAGTTTTTGAGTTGTATCCTCATGCTGATAGGCAACAAGTGTGGATCAATACGCTCTACGCGTGTATTACTAAATCGGAAAAATTGCTCTTTGGCTGTTTTATCGATGTGCGCTGACAAATCGTTTGGATATACTTGAAAATAGTGTATAATTGTAAATCTGGTATATTAATCCTCTTATTTCTTCCATTCCATTTTCTTGTTGTTCTACGTTTCAAATTAAATTAAACCTACATCGAGTTCAACTATATCCGGTTCTTTAGTTATAAACCTTCATTTATTACGGTTTTATGCTTAGATTTTATGCATAGATGTGATTTACTTTTACTAATAGATGACTTAAGAGGAGGGCAAAAGATGTTATGACTTACGATAGATGGCAGTACTATCTATTTGATGTCCATCCACCCACTTCGGTATGGAGTATGTGTACAGACTGTATAAAAAAGTGTTCATAGGAAAGCGTTAATTAAGGGTGGCGCCACTGTACCTACAGTCTAAATTTTAAAGAACTTTTTATATTTTTTTTGAACAGACTTTCCCCATAATTCTTTTTACAACAATTATTTTATTGATTTCAAAATTTTTATTTTCAAAATCACTCTCAACGTATTTTACGGCGATTTATTATACCCTGTAGCTACTTGAGCGCTGTTGTGGAGAGTTTTTAAACTGTATAAATAACAGTTCAAAAACTGCTTACAGATGGACACATTTTCAACTATTCTCCTATGGGAGGTTGTCCTCCTTACCTCTACTCCATGCACTTCGGCTTACCTATCTGTTAGGTTATGTCATTATCCACGACTTTTTCTGCCACCATGGCGGCGCCACCTAAAAAGAGGTAATATTCGACAGATTTCATAGCGGGGAAGTTAATTTGTTCGAAAAATGTAAAGGTTAATGTTTCTTTCTGTATCATTAGTTATATTTAATATTAATTAAATTTAAAATAAATAAACCAAACCACATATATTCATAAAACTAGAAAAACCAAAAAAAATTGTTAAATATGTGCAAAAAATTAATGAACAAATCACAAGAGGCATTGTTTTGTGTAATGTAATACTCTGGAAACTGATATTTATTTAAAACTAACTTCTCAATTAAATGACACTGAGTAACAAAAAACTTCACCTCAACTAGCGACATCTAGTGAGTGTTAGGTTATTAGCCCTCATTACTCTAGGTCTGGTTCTACTGCGTATATTATCTTTACGATTTTTTGATTAGCACTATATTTTTATATAGTTGCCCACTACCTCATATCTTCTCGTGGATATATGAAGAGGCAACAGAGAAAAATTAAACAGGAGATAGACAGCAGCATCTTCCTGATAGCAAAAAAATACTGCGGCTTTCAACACGCCTTTTAAGCGTGACTAATATGGCTAACACAGAAATAGTAATCATCTTACGATTTCTGTGATGGCCAATATACCCCACGAGGCAATCTAGTAGAGTTCTATGTTGAGCAGTGCACATTTGGTAGACTTTTGATGAATTGATGAACTAAGGTCTAAGTTAAAATTATGCGTTAGTCTTTATGGTTTTAAAATTATCAGGGTAGTCAAATTTGTTTTACCGAAAAATAACGAAAAACATAAAAATAGATATGTTATACTTTATTTAAGTTAAAAGAACTGAAAACAAATTAAAAGATTTGTACAATGTGTATAATATTGAAATGTATTTAGAACTTTAAGGGGAAATATAATGTCAAATGGCTTAGCAAGATCCATCGTTATGCCGAAAATATTGCAGCATTAATTTTGAAATAAATATATGGTAAAGTTGAGGATTAATGTTAAGGATTATGTTAGACGAAAACACGATTTCGTAAAATTTTCTCGATAGAAAAAAAATCCAAAGTTACCTCCAAAATAAACAATAAACCGCTGTTATTCATAAAATACTTTAAATAAGATCATGAAACTTTGCATTCTAACTGAACTAACTATAAAGCAGTGCTTATGTTATTTACTTTTTTTAAAATACTATTATTTTTACTGTAAAAAGAAATTACCTAAACTATTGGCCTTTTGAAGCGTGATTCCTGCAGCACGGTCACTTCTCTCTGGTATATAGGTAATTATCTATGGTCACTTCGCCTCGGCCTTTGAACGGGGAGGTTGTGTCGCTTACGATCAGAATATACATTACGCAACAGTACGACGTAAAATTAAAATGGCAAATAACCGTGATAAAAATAAGAAGCGGCTGGCTTGGCGTTAAGAAACAGGCATAAATATGATAAACCTAATGAAATAAGTGTCTAACGACCTTTCTACTTACAGTATTAGTGATTACAAACATGTCGGTACATAGCATACGACGCGCGGGCAAGTGGGGACGAAATTAGAATTTGAGCTGACTTACTCTATCCTCTTAAGTAGGGAACGTTTTCACTAAATTCTGATTAGTAAATTAGGTCTGTTTTTTTTTTAATTTTTATTCACTAAATTTGACACATATTTTAAAACAAAGACAGGCGTGCTGGAATTATAACCTTCAAGACAGAATCCTCCGTCCTCCCTAAGAAATATCATAATTCCGGTTCCATTGTAGCAATATGTATATCGTTCCTCGTTAAATAAAAATCACCAAGTTCTCACTAAATCTTAAAATAGAAATAACATCTCAAAAGCAGACGGTACCTAATGGCGTTTTTGAGGAGAGGCTGTTAGCTTGAATTTAACCTAGAATCCTCTAAAAAAAAGACTATAGGTATCTCCTAAAGCGATAAGTCACAAAATGTTTTTCTTAAACAATTTCTCACCAAATCTTTACATTATATTATAATATTTAAGATATAGTTGGGGAGAATGTATTATAGTATTCTATCGAGAGAATAATTATTGTTGTTTCAATTCCTAGCCTGCTATCTGTTGATCATCACTTTCTTAATGATTTATGACTTATTAATTTTGAAAAGAGATGTCAGCACATAAGTAAAATATACATGCATTTTATTTTACCTTGATAGTGTATACTAGATGGCGCTGTAATTAAATATTGTATTTTTGAACAGATGGCGGTGCTTAAGTATATTGAAGTTTCAAAAATTTATTATGGTTTTCTGTTATCTATTAGTAGTTGCATGTTATAGATTGTTTTGATTAACTTAATTAATGAAGTCAAAAATAATAACTGAGTTATTCATTTAACTGAGAACGGAGTTCATTCATTCAGATAAGAACTCTATCTTTTTTACAATCGAACAATTCAAACAAATCAAGTTGAGCAAGTTTGCTTCAGTCAGTCACAGTCAGTGACCGAAACAGATCGTGATAGGGGTGTTCCTTTCTACCTTGCTCTAAAAATATACCGTAACTGTTGTTTATAATCGTATCATAAGTTTCCTGTATTAATGGCCTTTTAAAAATACTAAAACCAGATAGTAATTTGTGAATTAAATCGCAGCACAAGTTGATACAAAAGTTATGACAGTTTATTTGACTTTTAAAAAATAAATTTTTATTTGTTCCGAATTCGCGGCATCCTATAGCAGTGTTAATATTGTTTATAAATGGAAAACCCTGTGTTTTTGGAGGATATGTTGACATTGACACGCTAAATTAAGTTATCATTATTCGAAAATTGGATGGGATTGCACTACTGGTAAGTTTTGTTAACTTATAAGACGTTTTATAATTATCACAGAAAAACAGTGACCTAGCTTAATCGATTTGTTTCCCAAATAAATCATGCAGCTAAGCTAAGCCAGTTAAGATATTATTTTTATTTATATATAAGCATATAAAGAACTTTCTTATTAAATCTGCATTCTGGAGATATCTGAATTAGAATTGTTATTATCATATTGAATTAGAACTGTTGTAGATAATAATGATCAAACGTTATTGCCTCTTTTTTAACGTTAAGTAAAAAATAATGAAAATAACGAATTTCTTCTGCGAGACGATCAGAAAGCCTTAAACAACATTGAAGCTTCATGATGACCTTGACAGATGAACGCTGAGGCTGCCTTGCCTTGTCGCTATTATTGGGTACCTGCGCAAAATATCTTCAGGGTTGTCGCAAAAGTAAATAAGTTGTAATAGGTATCAAATTACACTGGTCTTTATAATGGAAATACCCCTTTTACCTTTTTATTTCTAAAAGAACTATTTATATTTTAAAGCTGATTGACAGGAATTGCAATTGGACGTATAGTTCTCTTATCTAAACAATAAAAAAATAACAATTAAATAGTCTTGTAGTAATTTCTCGGATCTCGGGAAACTCGGTATCAGATATCTACCACCTTTGTCGCAGCTCCCTGTCCCAGTTTGGGTATTTATTACTGGTATTATAAATATAACACTTAAACTTATGAGCGACAGAAAATCAGCACCAAAATGTTCGTGTATGTAGTGGAGGCATCGCGTTCAACCGGAGCCTTTTCACTGTTACAGTAAAGGCTTTAAATAATAACTTGTTCGTTTTGTTTTTTAGAATGTTATGGTAGGATATAAATGTTTCTTTCGTTCTGTATATATATATATATATATATATATATATATATATATATATATATATATATATATATATATGATGATTATACCTATCAGAGACTATAAAATCCACAGGACACAGAAAAAAAGTAGATATACGTAAACGTAAAGTCTATTATTCTTTGCTCTGAAAGAAAGCATTTCTGACAGTCATCTCTTAACTCGATCCAGAGCAAATGCAGATCTCTAAAAATCTAGAAGACCCATGTTGAACGGGATTGCTACGAACCAATGGGTCACGCTAAAGTAAATATTGACGCCAAATGACTTAGTAGTAAGTGTTTCTTAGGAATTAGACCCAAGTTCTAGCCTCAGATGTTGCCAATATTTGTGAAAAAGTAAAATCATAGGTTTCCGGGTGAAATCATGATATACCCAGATTGGATATGACAACTGCGTATTTTTCAGTGCCTCACAATCCCTCCGCTCCAAGTTCCAGAGTTCAATAAACAATAACTTAGTCTTATGGATCTCACCTGAAAACAATTTTTATTATAACATTGGGTGACAAACGAGCACATAGTCCATCTGATGGTATGTGGATGCTGTTGTCCATAGATGTATATAGATGTGTAGAATGTGGAGGCATTTATTCTCTATCAATTAAGAATTAAAATGCAAATGCGTCGTCACCCCTGAGGACTAAGATTAAATGCCTCGATTCGAGTAAAAAGGGTATTATCCGGTTCTATACACTCACCATACGAAACACAGCAGCATTAAGCTGCTATTTTACGTTGGTACTTGGTAGTTCTGTGTGGGCGTGGTCCTGTCCCAGTCGAGCCGACCCATTCATGGTACAACTATACTGCTAATATAGCTGCAGCATGACTCTAGCACTTAAAAAAATATGTGTGACTAAAGTCCATTAAGTTCTATACTCACACGTAGTAGAGTCACGCTGTATACTATATTATAGTTGTAATGAACAGTAACTCTGTAATGTAAATAATGTAATAGTACTCTGTAGTTGTAACACGAATGGGTCGACTCGACCGGGGAAGGACCATGGTCTTATAGAATAGAATTCCAACGTAAAATAGCAGCTTAATGCTGCTGTGTTTCGTATGGTGAGTGTAGAGAACCAGAGACCCTTTTTATTGGAAACGAAATATTCCATCTTAGTCTTCAGGGGTGACAACGCATCTGCATTTTGTTTCTTGATCGAAGATAGATGGTAGATGTCTATGGGCCACAGCATCCATTTACCATCAGGTGGACTGTGTGATCATTTGTCGTCCTTATTTTATAAAAACAATCATTACGTTACGTCTTTCGTTCGTCTTAGTGTACCTTCGATGAAATGGCAAATAGATTTCATCAGGCACGTTTAACTTAGGGTGAGTGATTGCTAGTTATATTAATTGCGTACTTCATATCATAATGCACACTTGTAGTACTGTATATATTATCATCATCATCATCATTATAATCTCTAAAATCCACTGTTAAAAATAAGACCCCCCCCCATAAATTGCCTCATAGGGGTATATTTGCAGTTGCCACCACTATTATATTTTTTATTTTTTAAGTTGTTATCAGAAATATGTTGTTGCTCATCTTCTGGTTAATTTAATTTTGTTACCTCTAATGTCACATGTAGAACACTTGTGGCATATGCACTCCATGTGTACATATTTCATACCTTCCAACAATATCTAGAAGTTATCGGCATTATCGAAAAAAAAGCTAAGTTCCATTATGCGCGATTGACATCTGATAATATAACCGCAAGATGTCGCCATGGAATTACATTTCGATTTGGTAATTATACATCTCTTATCTTGACAACCCTGAAAAATAATAATTTAAATAGTTTCGTAATATTATTCTTTGTAAATGTACAACCTTGTGGTGTCAAGAGAGCGTCTATTCGGCTTCTGAAAATTAATTCAATGCATTTAAAGCAAAGAATATATAAAAAATATTATTTTGTATGTAATATATTAATGATTTACCGTGTAGTGGCGGTGTAGGAACTACTGCATTTATTCACTATCCCAAAATAAATATATATTAGACGGAAGCAAATCAGACGGTCAGCAGCGTGTTCCTAATATTGACTCAAAATAAAATATTGCAGTTGCCAATCTGCTTACCAACCCGCTTGCCAAGCGTGGCAACTATGGCAAATATCCCCCCATGAGACAGTCCATGGAGGAGGCCTACGTTCAGCAGTAACGGTTATTATAAAATCACTACAAAATTCAAAATCAATAAACTACAAATTACAATGCAAGTTAAAATATGTTAATGATTTAAGAGGATAGAGTAAGTCAGCTCAAATTCTAATTTCGCCCCCACTTGCCCGCGCGTCGTATGTTATGTACCGACATGTTTGTAATCACTAATACTGTAAGTAGAAAGGTCGTTAGACACTTATTTCATTAGGTTTATCATATTTATGCCTGTTTCTTAACGCCAAGCCAGCCGCTTCTTATTTTTATCACGGTTATTTCCCATTTTAATTTTACGTCGTACTGTTGCGTAATGTATATTCTGATCGTAAGCGACACAACTCCTCCCTTCAAAAGCCTAAGCGATACTAACGGGGCCACTGGAATCAAGCTCAAGACGCCGATAGTTTAGGTAATTTCTTTTTACAGTGAAAATAATGGTATTTTAAAAAAAGTAAATAACATAAGCACTGCTTTATAGTTAGTTCAGTTAGTATGCAAAGTTTCATGATCTTATTTAAAGTATTTTATGAATAACAGCGGTTTATTGTTTATTTTGGAGGTAACTTTGGATTTTTTTTCTATTGAGAAAATTTTACGAAATCGTGTTTTCGTCTAACATAATCATTAACATTAATCCTCAACTTTACCATATATTTATTTCAAAATTAATGCTGCAATATTTTCGGCATAACGAAGGATCTTGCTAAGCCATTTGACATTATATTTCCCCTTAATAGTTATATTTTATTAGACAATATTATAATTATTTAATAAATCGTTTGGGAGATTACTTTAACGGTTTTCTCGTCACAAAGCCTCAAAAATAACCTCAAAAGTTGCAAATAATAGTTGTACAAACCATACGTACTAGTGATGACATAATACATGAACCTGGAACTTCGTCCTTAATGACTGTACTTCAGGACGTTCGCCCAAGGAGGTTCAAACTTTTAGGATTAATTTTAGGTATTAAAAGATTTTTTTTAAAGTAAAGATTTAATTCAGTTTGAAATAGCTGAATAATTTTCGGTAAATGTGAAATTTTGTTTTTAACAATCTCTTTTATATACTTTTTAAGATTTTACTTGGTTGTTGGGTCTTAAATATAAAATACACTCGAAATTTGGTAAGGTAATTGATAGGTTTTACAAATGAAACGTACCAAAAGCTTTTCAGGTAAGTGTATAGGAGGGTCTATTCTTACATCTATGCTGGACATGATCCGCTTCCATTGTAGGTAGGATTTGATTTAATCGCCATGTTTGCCTGTACGCAGCTTCGTGGTGCCGCGGGTAGGCTTGTCAAACTTCCGCGAGAGTTGGGACGTCCAGAAAAACAAAATCTCGTAAAGGATGACAAGGATGATCACAAAATCTATCACACTGTATTGACTCTGCTCCGTTTCACTGAATATCTGTCATACCGAAATGGTATACCGCCATCTTATCGAAGGCCCAGAGATAGAAACAGGAACAAACTTTAAAATACGATTATAAGTTACTCTTTTGTTTAATTTACGACTCGTTTCGAAAAACCTCTGGCTTGGGAAGATATAATTAATAGTTTGATAGCGATCTTCTATTTCCCAGAGGTTATTATCATCTATGAATTCCATATTATAATAAACCTTTTTATACAAATTTTGTTCCATAAAGTTTTTGAACTTTGAAGAGGTCAAATGTTGTATAATTCCAGATTTTTAAACTGTATGGCTTCTCTTCGTAAAATTCTGCCAATGTTTATTCCTATAATGATAGTCATAAAAAGTATTGTTATTAAGAATGTACCTACATCATAATTACACTGTTCAACTACCCGCATATCTTACACAAAACGTATCAGTTACATTCCTTATTAAACTTCTTTGTAAAGTCTTTAACAAAGTTTCTACAGAATATATGTTACAGTTAATACTTAAATCGTC